CGAGCCACGGCTTCAGCCCGGCCCCAGCCCTCTGCCGGCAGTGACCGGTACGTTCTTCTCTCAACCGAACTCCCCAAATCCAGCTTTTTTTCCTCTCTCTCTGCAGGAAAATAATCATGTAAAGCGTTTTCAACGTCTTTATCCCGCCCCGCCGAGGATACAGACAGCTGTGGAACCCGGCGAGGAGCCCATCTGAAATCTCTCGTAAGATCCGCCTCGGAAATTGCGTGCTGGGGAGACACGGATCCTTAAAACCAGCATTGCTTTAAAAATACAACGATATTTTACTTGCCGTGGTGGTGTTTTGTTTAGTTTGTTTCGTTTTGTTTTGTTTTTCCCGTACAAGGGCCGTCGGGTCAGGGGTTCTGCGTGTGCTGCGCTGGGGTAGTGTCTGTGTGATCAATCAGCATCTTACCGAAAATCGAGATAAATTATCTGGTTCGCTCAGATGAAAAAAAAAAACAACCTAAAGAGAAATTATTTCTAAAATCTGAGGTGCTAATTCTCTTTTATTCCAAGCAATGTGAACGTTTCGGGAGGTCGGGTCTCTGATTACAGCAGATCTACACGCGAGATGCTGCGTCTGCACGATCCGGTCGTGTCTGCTCTGGTCCGCGCCGTTGGCCTGCCGTGTGTTCAACAGTCCTCGCGGGATCCTGTCACCAGTTTACACTGCTTTGTTTCAGAAAGCTCCAGTCCACCCTTTTGAAGTGAATACGTTCCAAAACACGACAAAAATCTGTCCCTCCTTAGGACAAAATATCTGTTCCTGTTTCTTGTTTCCATGCTGTTGTAGATTATCTGAAAGTGCTTAACTGCTGGTACTTTACTTTGAAACTTCAGTTGCTGAAGGATGTGCAAGTAGTGCCCGAGCTGCAAATATCGTGCAACAGCTGTTCATGTGTTTATTGCGATGGAAACCTTACTGGGAGGAACACTCAAGGCGTATCAGAAGGGCTTCACAAATCTGTAACACCAAATCTATAAAAGATACCTAAACATTCCATGCTGGTGGGGGATTTCTTGGTCCTTTAGGTTTTGAAAATCGATTTCCAAAGCCTAGGAAGAAATTATTTTTTTAATGCAACAAATTCTGTATGTTATAGATGTTGATTACCTAGTTCCTTAAGATAACACGGTATTTGAAAATATTTGTCATTTCCCTTCTTTCCCCAACTTAAAGATACGGTAGACTTAAAGAGGCATCCTGTAGTTGTAAGTCAACTGGTGCAAAAACAGTCTATAGACACACTGATGTTTCAAATACTCTATTATCTTAAGGATGTTTTCCATCCTTACCTGTTCTTTAAGCAGTTCATTAATAAAGTTGTAAACGTGTGAAAAATAATAAGCATTATTTGCAACGTTTGTAATGTGTCAGCATTCAGCCTGGTACCTGCGTTTAGACTTTAAAAAAACAGGCACTTCCTACACCAAAACACAAAGAGAAAACCATACCAAAGTTAAAGAACGACCTTGAGTGGTTTGATGGGGCAGACTCTGATGGTCTTGTCAGTGACGATGGACTGCAGATGCCTAGAAACAAAAAAAAGAGACTGGAGCAGTTAGTCACTATGGTAATTCCCTGAAGAGCTGGACCCAGCCCTATGGGAAAACCCGTACTGCCACGTGCCTGGTGGCACTGGGCACGGGTGCTCAGAGGTGCTTTAAACAGTTTTTAGCCGTCTTATTTTCAAGGTAAGCACTTTAACTTTAGATCAAAGGGAACTTCATGAGAAACTCCTTATTTATGCTCCAAATAGACTGGGCAGAACCCAGGATGGGGCTCCTATTTCCCACAGCACTCCTACCCCCCATTTTTAGAGTGCTTGTCCCGCAGCACTGGTTTGAATGACCTGAAGAATTTGGTAATTTGGGTACAATGGAGCTGTCCCTAAAGCACCCAAAGGGCTTTTTGAGGGCACACTCCTAAACCAATGGTTACTTTCCAGATGAGATGGCACCCAGCTAGCCAGCACAGCTCTGCATGTTCGGCTCCAAAGTAGGCAGATGTGCAGGGTGTTGCACATCTGGCAAGTTCAGGTTCTTGAAAACGCAGTCCCACATATTTCTGTATGTACTTGCTTAAAGCCATCAGGAAGATGCATATTAGCCTGAAAGACTTACTCTTTCTCACATTTTTCAATATTTTCAAGCTCTGCAAGAAAAAAGAAAAAGAAAGCTTGTAGGAAAAAAATGTAGCCAGCAGTAGGTCAGCTACTGTGATAACGGAATTCCCTGACAAACGTGCGTGTATCCCATCGGATGAAAAGCGTTGTGCCTAGCAGCTGCGACTCAGACGCAGACCTGCCATTCACTTTGCCGCTGGCATTTTTTTAGCCAACCCAAATGCCTCCAGTTTGTATTATTCTTGCTGTTTTCCTCAAATGCTTTTCTGCTGGACCAGAGCATCCCAAAGTGCGGCTGCTCATGAGGGTAATTAGGCCACACGAGAGGGGCCGGGTGATGAGCGGAGTCTGTCCCACACAGGGATCCAGCCTCCACTTGAGCAACGTTCTCCAAGAGGAACTGGCACTTCACGTGGACGGAGTGCCGAGGCATAACCGCTCACACGAGTGTCTGCCTGGCTCTGTTCCTACAGCAGTTGTTTTCTTTGCAGTTCTACAACAGAATACTTTTATTAGCCTTTCCTTGCCCTAAATGTAAGTGGTGTCAGAGGAGGCAGTTTTCACCACGGGGCCAGGGAGAAAGTAGCAATAGCTGTAGCTAGAACGATCGCTTCTTCTCACCCTCTCCACTTTCATTAGCTTTTGTTTTCTCTCGTTTCTTTTACCTTGCTTCTCCTGAAGCATTTCGTAGGCTCTTTGGACGATGTTTCAGAAGCATTGCTCTCCACGCTCAGGAGACTCATTGTAGAATTCCTCATAACAGGCTGCAGACCTGGGAACATACATCAGACATTTTCAGTGGTCCTATTCATGAATCCTCCTGCCTTTTTCCAAGTGCTTTGTTGTTGCTTTTTCTTTCCTCTAATGCAGCAGTTCTAGAAATTCCCTGCAGGCCCCCCGTAGTCTCATGTACTTTCTTTGCATCTGCTGAACTTTCCTGCAGTTAACTCCTGAAGCGCTGCTGTTGGTAACGCTTGGACCAAGCGGGCCATGACCTCCTCAGCTACCTACAGGTCTACGTCGAAGTGTAAAATCTCAGTTACGTGCTGAGGAAAGAACTCATCACTTACTTGCTGCATCAGCAAGAACAAACGACTCCGGGGTTCTTTCAGGAAGCGGGGGAGGAGAGTTAGAGCGATCCCGGGTTGTCTCTAAGAAAGCAAAAATAAGAGAGTTGATTGCCTAGCTTTAAATATGTATATTTAAATAAATGTATATATATAAAGGTAGATAAATGTAGTGAACTGATATATATTTATATCAGTTATATATATATCAGAGAGGTCCACAGCACTCTACCCAGCAAATATCAGTCATCTCAAAGGGGACACAGGACATGCAGCAAAAGGTGCGACAACCCTCAGCCTGCGGAGGCTGAAAGGAGCATCGTCATGTACAGGGTGAGGCAGGAGCTGATTAGGAAATGTAAAACTACCAGTTCCTTTGGTTGCAGAACTGTCTAGTTCTGTTTAGAACTATTTAGTTGCAGAACTATTTAGCAACACAAGATTTCCGTTGGACTGAGCAGACTGAATACGGTAAAGCAGCTTCAGTAAAAAGCAAACCTTATTTCCAAAGATAGTTTATCTCAGCATTCAACTTATACCTGTTTGTGGCCTCCGAAGCTTCACATTCTGAAAAAAAAAAAACGAAAACAAGGCAGGCATTTGAAATTCCCACAACCAGACACCGTTCTCAAGCGAGCCAGAGAAGGAGAGGAAACGGTGTTACGTGCAAACGTCCTCCCCCACACACCTCCACACTCATGTAATGGAAGACAGACTCACGCCTTGTTGTTTCACTTTACAAAGCTGTAACTCAACTACAGGATGATCAAGAGATGCCTAAATTTTGTTCAGCTCCTGCCTGTTCACAGGGTGTTGTGAAGCTCAGCACGCCACTAACTCCCTGTCTTCATTATCCTTCTCTAGAAGAAGGACACTATTTTTACTACCTTGCATGGGATTTAGGACCCAAAAAACCTAACGTTTGGAGTGAAGTAGATGTTGATGAGGAGGAGCCTGACTGACACCACATCTTCTTCCCAGTCCTGAACCCTGAAATAACTTATGGAATGTACACAGTGCCAAAACTTGGGTCTTTCTCACAGAGGGAAACACGGTAAGGAGTTTGGGGTAGTGATAGTGCAGGAGAAGAGATAAAAAGCCACTTACTTACCTTACATGATCTCAGTCCCACTGAGTCATTAAACGCCTCTGAGTGAGACTCGCCACTCCGCTCCAAAGAGGTTCCGATGTTTGTATTTCTGGCTGGAAGCTGAAAATCAGAAGTGGCCAGAGGAAATTGTCCTAGAAACAATTGGACACAGGAGACGTCATTTCTCATCCCAGGCAGCCAGAGCAAAGGCACTGCTGGATGCTACGGTGCTGCACAACCATGGGAAGAGCCCTCAGAGCACCCCTGGGCCCTGCTTTGCCGAACGCACTCACCGGATTCACTGGCCACAATAAAGGACTCGGGGGTTCGCTCGGGCAGGGGTGGAGGATCATCATCGTCTGGCTGTGGCAAGGTGGCTAATTGGGGAGAGGGGGACAGGTCACCTGCACGGCACGACACAGCACAGCTACAGACCTTTGTAGAGACCCCGAGAGCCGACTGCTCTTTCCCGACCGCGCACCAGAGACGATGGTTGAACACCTCTAAACTGTAGTTAAAAATCCAAATAGTCCTCAGCACCAGTCACCTGCCGCTAGCAGCGTGGCGCCACGGGCAGACTCCCAGCAGAATTCCCGTTGCACGGGGGAAAACGAGCGCACCCCCGCACACGGCAGGCTCACAGCTGGCAGTACCCTTGCTGCTGGCTTGTGCCACGGCTCCCATAACCTTCCGAGAGTCTCTGGCACCTGGATAAGGAGCCCACGTTTGTGACACCAAATGCTGAAGGGCCGGAGCAGGACACAGCTGAGCAAATGCCAAAGCTGCAGGCAACGGGAATGTCTGACCGGGCCAGGACTGACCGAACCAAGGAATAACTCAGCCGTGTCCATAGGGCTGGTGAGGGTTTTAAGGCAAAACATTAACGCTGAAGTCCTGGTTCTCCCAGTCTCAGTAGGACGTCAGCGTCCTCTGCACAGCACTCTGCAGAAGGGAGCGGGTTTTGGCAGCACCAGCCCCGGTGCTCCTGGGAGAGCCGTGCCGAGGTGGCACAGCCGTCCAGAGCGGCTGGATGCTGCGAAACCCAAAATCATGCTGCTCTAAAAGTGTTGCTTATTTTCATGGGAAAAATTTAAGACAGGATGAAACGAGTGTGAGGATGAGAGCAGCTGCTCCCTCAGCTCCCACGGGAGCACGGTCCCGAGGAGCAGCGACAGCCCTGCCCGGACACCAGAAGACAACGCTGACCGGCATGCCGCGATCCGCAGGGACCGAGCCCGGCTCGTCGCAGCGCCGCACCACTTACCGGGGGAGGAAGTCCGCTCGTCGTTTCGCCGGGGAGCGTGGTGGGACGCCAGCGTGGGCGGCGGGGGGCTGGCGGCAGCAGGCTGCCACGGGG